ATGGCGTCGGTGAGGGCTTCGAGTTGGTTGATGATTGTTATGGTGGAGATTGACATGCTGTATGCGCGGAGGAGCCCGCGTTTGCGCGTATCAGAGTCGGATTCTTCGAGTAGGTAGAAGACGTAGAGTTGGAGACCGGTGCCATTAAGAAGGACTTTGTTCTCCTCTGCGGGCAAGGTTAGTAATGATGGGATGGGACGAGTTGGTGTGTGACGGACCGGATATGTAGCTGGTTAAAGTGGATGCCAGTTCGGTGTATTCTCGCTCCAACAGGGCCAGAAGGGAGATGAATTCCCCTGGACGAGGAAGATCCGTTGGACCCTGTGAGTGGCTGGACATGAACTGACCTACACGGGCCGAAAACCGTGATATGAGGAGTTGATGTTTGAGGGACGTCGGGATCATGGTGCTGTCCCGGTCACAAAGCCGATCGATCATCCAGTCTGACGAGACCCATACTTGTCCGTCTATGGTTACGATTCTGTGAGGATAGTTGTGTCAGATAGCTACGACAAAACATGGCTAAAGCAGAGTGTCACCTACGTTTGAGCGGTGATATAGCAGGTCGCCCATGTTCGAGCTACTTCGGCCATCTCATCCGGCATCAAACGTTTTTTGGTTCGGGAGAAATCCTGGATGGCTTCTGGTCGATGCAGCCCGATGCGGAGGGAGATAGTCTGTGCGGTGGATAGGAGAATGGATGTAATATCGGAAGAAAGAGATGAAGTGGGAAATGGCCACAGACACACTAGGATGATAGCCTGCACGACATGCCAGGTGTGCGGGGGATTGGCGATGGTATCCCATATGAGCTTCTTGACGGGAGCCGTGAGACTGACAAACAAACCAGGTTCTTCCGTATATCGACGAGAGGCCAGCAGAATGATGGACCAGAATAACACCGCAGATCGAGCATAATATTGGTTCGGGGAGATGGTTGGATCCAACAAGGGTACGTAGGGATGATAGTGAGTGAAGAAGCTACCGGCATTAGCTTAAGGATAGGTAGCAGGCTGACCAATCTTACATGTTGAACAGGGCATTTACTTGAAACCCATGGAGGTGGACAAACTCTAGCGACCTGGATGAGGTTGGGGACGTCGTGTCGGTAAGTAAAGGCGACGGTTGACTAGGTTGCTGGGATGGCAAGGAATGTACTGGAGTTGTAGGTTCTACTGGCAAAGGTGGCATTTGGGAAGCCACCAGATCCACTCGCGACCCTGAGGGTTCCTGAACGATGATAGAGGAGGCATCGGCATGGTACGATTCGCTGGGGGTGAGGAGAATGCCTTGGAGGGACTGTGGCGCGGCAGCGGGAGGATGAGTGGAGACGGATGAGCGCAGATGCTGAACTTCCTTCTCCAGTTCCTCTAGTCTCCTATAAGGTATCAGAAGGTGTGTATTGGAGGCGACGAAGTAGCCCTTTATGGCCAGTGAGGTATACTCTCGCCCGTTGACACGTTGATACGCCACATCAAGCCGGCATTCGTAGCCCAGCCGGCGACATCGGGAGCAGGGGATAGCACCACCTGTGGATACCTCACATCGAAGCTAGGCCATATCGTCAGCTACGAGGAAGAACAGAGGCGAGCTAGTATCATAACTGACCTTTGACTGGCGACATTGCCTGCAGGCAATCCGCTTACTGCGATGGCGCGGGAAGGGGGATTGGGGCGCGCGTTGGGGTGGCATGCTGAACGACTAGACACCCATTCTCCGAAGAGTAAGCACCAGGAAAACAATCCTGCAGTAGGTGACGTGCGAGGTAACTAGCTACGGAGTACTATGCTTAGGTTAACCCTTCCGGGGAGAGACAAAGCAAGAAGACGTGTACAGATAGTGAGATAGTGCGTTACTGTCAGCCTGGTCGGGCTTTGTTCTTCCCTCTTCTGGTCATCTCCGTTGGCGGGCCGAATATACCCAAACAGGGTTTAGTGCCATTACGGCCGGCCCGAGGAGTATCTGTCATCATCTCAATCGGGAAGTCCAGGGTTGTTGATTATTCCGGCAGTCTTGATTGGACATTGACTTCGACTCAAGAGCTGTTGAGTCGGATGTCAGACGGTTGCGCGACGGAGCAGAGTCGGCCATGCAGATGGGCATATCCGATTGGCTTGATCTGCGTGATAAGGGTAGCCCGCGAGTGCCACAGCCGACTCCGTGCATCTTCCGTCTGGATGAAAAAAGCACTACTATGTATGTGTGCTGATGAGTAAAGCATGGCGTCCCATATAGCTTATTGTATCAGTTCGACATGATGGAAATACTGGTAGCCGAAGGAGTTAGTATGTTAACGATCACACGCTTCTGTATTCGGCAGATTACAAAACCCACGTAGACCTCGAGTCATGGTCAACACCCCGCCTGCATCGTACGATAGTGGAGTGTAAACTTTCAGTGGAAGGAAGAGGGTCCTTGTATGATGCTGGGTCATACATACGGCTTTACACTTCTATATGGTCATGCAGTCCTGACGTTAAGGATATGCGGTCAATGCTTAAACGCGCACTCATGCCGAATCCTACGCCGGGATCGTCTATTTAGTGAACGGTGAATCGTTCGATGGATCTTCCCTGGTCTGATTCAGGGCCAGGTTGCCGCAGAGGCAAGTCTGCTTTCCCAGCTTGGTAGCAGCATAAACTCCGTGTCCAGATAGGTTAGACTCATGGGTCATCTACACCCACGACGCGTACTCAAATTGAGAACCACTACTATCTTAAATTGAACTTGGTAGGGAATTTACAACTGCCGAGAAGGCTGTCTCATTATGAAACATGGCGAAGCAGGCAGTCGTTCAGCCATCTCCTTTGGGAACGGGACGCTTGCCTTGCCTAACAAGGTAATATCTGAATACGATCTGACTATCTAGAGATTTCATATCCGAAGCGAATGCGTTCCCTAGCCCATATTAGGAAAAAATCAAGAGAGAGTGGGACGAAACGTAATCGTTAATTCTATCCGTGATGTAGTCGGCGAATATTCGGGGAATCCCCGCAACTCAGGGCCTTATGCCAAACCCGCCCGGGAAAGAGATCTGAGTGCGATGATGCCGTGCTTGTGGAGACGGACGGGAAGCCGAACAGTCCCTGGACCCTATGCCATATGGCACAGTCCACATTAAGCATGAATCAACGCATGTTCCATTTCCAGGCAAACCACGTCCAAAGCTACCAATATTGCATGTCTACACTCAAAATGGAACTGTCAAGACAGGGTGAAACGCGTCAGCAGAACTCTAGTTCTGAGACAACAATATGTGTGCGGTCCACCATGCTTGGGGAAGCCTTCCACGGGCAAGAGGTGGTGAGGCCGCTTAGAGATGACTGGTACGGAGGTGCAGATGAAAAACTAAGCGGAAAAGTTGCGTTGTCCATGGATCGTCATGAAGAGGGAGTGATTTAACCTCATGTATGAAAACTTCCTTACATCGAATAGACAATGATCGTCGCGGTCTGAATCTATAAAGAACACGCCATGCCCCAGTTACAGCTGACAGTAAACCAACTCCTTCACTAAGTCATTCGCTCGTTTTTTCATTCGTTAGTACTTGATACATTTTGAAAATGTTCGCCAAATTGTCCCTTCTTTCGCTTCTTTTCAGCTCTGCTGCGCTGGGCGCCTCCAACCAGACTCTGTCCTATGGCAACATTGACAAGTCTGCCACCCCCGGCGCCAGAGCGCTCCTGAAGTACATCCAGCTTCAGTATGGATCGCACTACATATCTGGACAGCAGGACATCGACAGCTGGAACTGGGTCGAGAAGAACATTGGTGTGGCCCCTGCCATCCTCGGCAGCGACTTCACCTACTACTCGCCATCGGCTGTTGCCCACGGCGGCAAGTCTCACGCGGTCGAGGATGTAATCCAGCACGCCGGTCGCAATGGAATCAATGCCCTGGTTTGGCATTGGTACGCTCCCACCTGTCTGCTCGATACCGATAAAGAGCCGTGGTACAAGGGATTCTACACCGAGGCCACCTGCTTCAACGTGTCTGAAGCCGTCAACGACCATGGCAACGGCACCAACTACAAGCTCCTGCTGCGTGATATCGACGCAATTGCTGCTCAGATCAAGCGCCTGGATCAGGCCAACGTGCCCATTCTCTTCCGCCCGCTCCACGAGCCCGAGGGTGGCTGGTTCTGGTGGGGTGCCCAGGGTCCTGCTCCCTTCAAGAAGCTGTGGGATATCCTCTATGACCGCATCACTCGCTACCACAACCTCCACAACTTGGTCTGGGTTTGCAACACTGCTGATCCGGCCTGGTATCCCGGAAACGACAAATGCGACATCGCCACCATCGACCACTATCCCGCCGTTGGTGACCATGGAGTCGCGGCCGACCAGTATAAGAAGCTCCAGACCCTGACCAAGAACGAGAGAGTTTTGGCTATGGCAGAAGTTGGCCCCATTCCGGACCCCGATATGCAGGCTCGTGAGAATGTCAACTGGGCTTACTGGATGGTTTGGTCCGGTGACTTCATTGAGGATGGTAAGCAGAACCCTAACCAGTTCTTGCACAAGGTGTACAACGATACCCGGGTTGTGGCTCTGAACTGGGAGGGGGCGTAAGCGGACGTGGTAGATTACCATGAGGGGAGTTCAAAGGAGTGTTGAGCAAGTGGGAGAGAGGGAAGTTGTGGATATTACTAGGCTACTCTGGAAGTGGCCATCCTGGCAGCCAACAGTCACTCAAAGCGCCTCCTTAGCTAGTGTGTACTATCGCCATACAGAAATAAACAGTGTATTACATTGGATTTGATTCCCGCTTAACTGATTGTACTAAACATCCATTCCCAAAGACCTAAGGGGCCAACTGTGCCAATGACGTGGCCAAGCATTGATATCCGCTGTGGGCCAGAGGGACTGAAAGACGGTTTGAACGTCCTCTTCCTCTTCCATGACGAATTCGCCACCCACTTGCTGTACTGGGGTCAATGTGCTATCTTCATCATCTGACAGGTCGCTTAAGTCATGCCTTGGCTTAACACACTTCTGGGCTCATAGCCCTGTTAGAAGATCTGGCTCAACTACCCACGTCGGAGCCAATTGGTCTAGAAAGCCTTCCCCCTTAATCTTTCTACAGTAATCATGATAGAAGTATCTGGAATACTCTCCCAACTGGCCATATAAAGGGTAAATCGTCAGCCGCTGTAGCCAATGCCCGTTTCGACCTTTCCAGACATACGAGAAGATTGCTTTGGCCAACGCTTCATCGATGGCACAGTTGATCAACAAGTCACGCAGGTACCATCTGGGCCACCCATAACCTAGCACAGAACTATGCCAGATTCGAGCCATTTCGAAATCTGTCAACTCACGCGACGGGACCGGGTGGTCGAAAATATTCATCTCCGGAAGGCAGTTGAGAACTAGTTCTAGCTCCTCCAGACATGTGAATTGCCCCAGGGCTGTGTACGCGGCCCCCTCAAAGCCACGGCGGCGCTGAACGCAGATTTGCAGCTTCTTGAGCAATGGAAGCTGGCGGCTGAGCTCCAAAATATCATCGTCTGAGAAAATTGGACCAATTCCTTTGCCTAGAGCAAGCTCATGCAGGTCTATCTCTCGCCTCGAAGGCGATGCCCGATGTAATTCCAATTCGAGGAGTGTCGGTCCATGCTTGCGAAGCACTTTACCACGGGTGAGTAATGCGGGCGTATACCCGCCTAGCAGGCAAAGAGATTTCAGTGGGGGCAAGGATTCCAACATCGCCTCTGCACTGTACCAAAATGCGTACTCGTTCTCATACGGCTCAATTAAGGCAAGGGTCAGGTGAGTAAGCTTGTTGAAGGGTTGCATACTCGCCAGAGTCTGTAGCAGCATCGTATCCTTGATGCAGCCAGCTGTCCACGATCTCAGACATTCTAGATCCGTCAGTTCTTTCAAGCACTGGAAGCCCTCCACGGTCACCTCCCTATCTAGCGGCCAGCATAAGGATTTTATTTGGGCGACTACTTGAGGTGCATCCTGACTTTCCTCCATAGGCAGGGGACCACAAGAACAGGACTGAACCGAGACCTTCCGTACATGTGGTGCTCGGTGCACAATGCTCTGCAGTAACCTATCCGTAGACTGTGTCTCACCATTTTCAGTGTTCTCCAAGGGATAATGACACACGGCATGCAGTAACGGTGAGCCATCCCAAGCCTTGCTCGTGGAAAGTGATGAGATGAAGAGGGAGACTCGGCATGTTGGATGATGCCGTGAGATTGTCTCAGCAAGCTCAACCGTCCCACCCTCCTCATCAATAATATTGACCTCACTGAGATTAGGCAGCTGTGTAATCAGGTTGAGAATCGGGGCCAGATCCTCTTCGTAGGAAGGACATCGATCGATAAAGCCCTTCCCGACACCCCCTTGTTCCAGGGCATCACGAGTATCTAGGTAGTATTTAAGCGGGGGTTTTATGAATCTCCAAACCGTCATCAGACTTAGTCGCTTCACATATGCAAAGACTCTTTGGGTATGTGGCAGACGAAGCAAGTAAGAACAGGATTCCTCGATATCTAAAGGTATCAAAAGGTGGCGATATAGGACTGATCCTGCGATAGTGTTCCATACCCTACTAACTTGAGACAATGCCATCAGGCTTCTTCGGGTTCTATCACACAACTGCGGGCTGCATCAGTGCCGTGTATCTAAAGTTTAGTTGAACGTACTTACCAAAGTTGCAATGACATGCTTGATCTCTTCTGGTAGCTTATCCGTGGTTTCTAAACACCTGAATAAGTTGGCTTATAGATGTATGGTAGTGATGTTACAGGACGGCAAATCTGGGAGAGTTAAAGTCTGAAGGGATGCTGGGCTGCTGGAATTAGCGAGATCGTCACTACGCTCCCATCACTGCAAGGAATACTGTCCATTATATGTTCTGACTTAGAAAGGGGTTTCTGCCCAATTTTTCATTAGACATGGTAGCGACCTCCTTCAGATTAGAAAAATGAATGTTCCATTCTCTACCGGATATCAGACACCATGTAAGTACTAACGATGGACTGTGCCAGAGAAGGCGATGAATTTTATGGCGAATCCACGGTAATGCAACAGTCTGAAAGAGAAGATTTGAGAAGCTTGTCCGCTGTTAGCTCGGATATTTTCGATTTTCGTCAATGGCCACAAGATAGCAATCATTGTAGTTCCCCAAGTCTTGCTGATGTTTCAATTGAACAAGGTAAAGAGAACTTCAAAGGATAAAGGAGGTTTCAGACGGGAGAAGGCTTGGTTTATCGACGATGTCGGAAGGACGCGGCTCAGACAAATGTAATAATGCAATTTGCATAGACCTTACCGGGGTACAACAAGCCATGAGGACTGTCTGCATGCAATCCCGGTTAGACTCTGGGAGGAAAAGGGAAGATGCGGCCGATAAAGCCAATACGTGGTAGCACAACGAGAACCCACTTGAAGAGTTGGTTTTTTTTTTGCGCGCCTAGTGTAGGCCACTATGGAATGTTTGTCTTCTATGACCTGCTGGTTCTTTGCTGGCATTTCTCTCCAGCAAATCTCTTCCATCTACTGCATCGCCACCAAAGGTTCAGCTGGAAGGCCATGTAGGACGGCGTTCTTCTTCCAATGATCAGGGATAAGTGATGGTGCCACTGTGCGACTGAACTGCCGATATTGATCTTCAAATTAGCCACCACACTGACTCTCATTCAGTATCAAGATTGATGGTTGTGTACAGTGGTATAGCATGATCCAGGCCGGCTATCCACAGAATTTGTCGGTAGCCTACCTTATCTTCGACGCAATCCATGCTGATGATCAATCTCCCGTATAGCATGGTAATGTACGACACAGGATCGATAGACCCAGTTTTACCGGTGAGGAGCTGTGTGGACTACGGTAGTAATACCCTCTTTCAAACCGCAAAATTTCCAACCTTCTTCCGGCAGCTCGATGTGAAACCCGTGGGAGGTTACAGCACTGGTGCCACGGCGGTGTCCTTGCGCAAGTCAGAAGTTGTCAGTTGCACGGTAAACTGTGAGACCGCCGGTCTAGCAGAGCTCACCTCGTCGGGACATTATATCATTTGCATTATCCACTTCCCAGAGGTGTCCCGAATTACACCCATGGACAACATAATGGGGATGAAAGTTGCGCCACGGTCTGCGGTTGACGGGGTTCCTACATTCTAGTCATAGTATTATAGCGGACAGCTAGCCGAGATGGCTTCTTTTCTTCTACTTCATCCTAGGCTCAGAGTACCGGATTGAGCTGGCCTTGGGTGAAGCGGATGGGTTCAAGGTGGTCGGTGATATTAGGTGGACCGACCTCAATCGTAATGCGAGCATCCCCTCCCCAAATACGGGGTGGACTTCGTGAGTCTCGACATCAACAGGCGGCATGCCCTCGCGTCTGGCAACTACAGCACTGGGATCGCGGATGGCCTGCCCGCACCATTTGCTGCTGGTCTGATTGCCTCAGTACAGGAACGGCCTTTCTTCAGACACCTGATACACACTTCCGCGAGTGTTGTTCCATCTAGGCGAGTAACCGGGGCAGCCAGGAATCCGTCAAGCAAAACTTACGAGACCCACGGAGCCTCTTGAGAATCCAACGCGAGAAGGGCGTGGCGTGTGGCCGGTGGAGTCTCCCTTACTGAAAGCATATTATATCATCTGGAATGGCCTGGATCTTCGGGTGGTATTTGCCACAGCGGCGGCACTTTTCATCTCTTAGATGACTCTTGGGATGCGCTGGCCGTGCCGATTACACTACAATTATTGAGATGACCATATCGACGATACAATATGTGTGACCTTGGGGGTACACATATGTAATCAGTAATCCACTGGGTGCTGCGTGTTGGCATATCCTGGACGGGAAAGAGTCTGCACTAACGAGCTGCGATTAGGACGGATGACTATAAATAGGTGTCGGTCGTCGAAAGCTGCATCACTTTCCGAGGTTCAAAAACTGGTTACACAGCAGGTAAACAAGAAACCAACTGCTGCGGAAGCTGTAACGCAAGGGGAGACACAGCCTTATCTCGTGCAGTCCGAGATGCATACGCGACTTCCGGCGGTGTGAAGATTGCCATGTTATTGGGGATGAGATGTCACATTCCGCCATCGCAAAATTTTCTTCCTGTTGGGTAATAGCTTACCTAAGTTAACATACTGTGAACTGTTCTCGTAGTGATTGGATGGACCCATAGAGCATGAGGTGAAAGATAAGAAGCAAAGAAGTAAGACGGAACTGTAAGGAGTGTCATTCCACGGTATTGGATATGCTCTTGAATGTTTCTAGGCTCGGCTGCTTGAAGTAGAGCACAAATACTAGTCATCATCACTGTGAAAGAATACGAAGACTCTCAATACAATCATTCTCTGATTAGCTCTATATGCCTTTGATGCCTCATGAAAGTTGAAGGATTTTCCCAAGTAATATATATGGTAAGGTACCGTCTCGTAATCACTCACCGGTAGTCGCAACTGATGGCCGCGGTGGTGGAAGCGTGGCCAGGCCCTAAGATCCGACTGGACAAAGATCTCCCGTCAGCATCCCTGCATCTCCTGCTGCTTAGTGCGCTGATCTATCTGTGACGTGTCCAGCAAAAGGGTTGTTAGTACGTCACAAAGAACAGTACCCAGAAGTAAGATTGCGTTTAAAATCGGTCATACTTCGATTAACCGGAAAAGTCAACAACAAGTCCCAAGCATATATCTCCGGGCAAGATAAAAACAAGGAGGGCACAAATAACGGTTTGGTAATGAAATCTTTAACAACCACGATATTGACATCTGGGTATGTGCTACAGAGGCCTAACATCGACAGTAGACGGATACCAGCGAAAGAAAAGGGAAAAAAAGTTCGATCGGCAAGGAAGTGTGGAGATGATCTGTTGTTGTCAATTCGCGCCCCGCTGGATCGACATACGCTTGCGGCTCATGGGTTCGATGGGGATTTGATCTCTCATTTTCTAGTGCGCCCTTAAACCACAGCAATCGCAGAGAGATCTAGTTCCGATACTAGTGACTATGCCTTAAGACTACAAAGAACAAGTACAAGGAACGAAGAAAATCCCCACAAAACAAGCTAGTTCTATTTTCAATTCTCATGAGTCGTAGACTAAAAACAAGCGTGTGCGTGATCCCGAAATGAATTTGATGATCAGACGTAGAGAAGCGCCAAAGCAGCACCAATCAGAGCCACAAGCCCTTGAGGAGCGTTGAATGTAGTTGAAGCCGCGCCGGTGGATAGCTGAGCGGTTGTCGTGGCGGCAGTGCTGTTCGACCCCGAGGTAGAAGACGCGGACGTGGCGAGCGTAGTACCCGTAGAAGAGGATGAAGACGTGGAGGTAGACGTAGTCGATCCTGTAGAGAAATCACACTTCGGTCAGTGAGGTCGCCGTGCCACAATAACGAAAAGACATCTTGCCTGAAGATGAAGATAGAGGACTGCTCGACGTGGTAGTTGTAGAAGACACCGCAGTCGTAGAGGTGACTGTGGTGGATTCGGTCTCACTGGATGTCGAAGAGGAGGAGGTAGAAGAAGAGGAAGAGGAAGAAGATGTAGTGGAAGTGGAAGAAGATGACGAGGAAGTAGTACCATCGCTTGAAGCACCCTTTTCGACAGTAAAAGTCGGGCTCACAGCGAGCTCGCCCGACGAGTCGATGATCTCGATTTCATAGTCAGACCTAGGATGGAAAATAGGAAGTTAGTAGTGTTCCCACTTCCAACTGTCGGTGAGTTCACACGGTCTAGAGTACGCACCCGTTGGAAATGCTAGGGTTGGGCTGGGTAGTGTATTCCCCAGTGGAAGTCTTTACGTTGTCCGCCAGCTTGGTTTGGAAGGATCCGTCCTGGGTGCGCAAGATGATGCTGATCACTGACGGATCGTTGGCATCGCTGGTGAACTTGATGGTTTTGGGAGTGGAGAAATCCCATTCAGTGCCTGAGGTGGGCTCGGTGATGGTGATGGCCAAAGCCGAAGAGATGAGGCTCAGCGAGGCGGCGGTGATAGCGAAGCGCATGTTGATACGACCTGGATTACTACTGCAGAGGATATTAGTAGCTAGGAAGTAGTAGTGTCATATCCCCTACCGGGACATTTGCCTGCTATATATATATATGGATATATAACATCTTTGAGAAGGGTTCCCTTTGACGGGATCGTATATCGACCCCGGGTATACTTCTCTGTACTGAATCACTCAGCAGCCTTTGACTGAAGCCCAACAGATCGAGATCAGGCTGATTGTCTAGACCGCACACTGAACCAGCAATACGAGATGATCATCAGTATGGGCTGAGCCTCTCGCGCGAAGGGCAAAAAAAAACGGACCTCAAAGTGTAATCCGAGACATTTCCTACGTAGAGTGACAGCAATCGGGCATGACCGGGATGTATGTCTCTGAAGCAGTGATCTGTCATGGTGTGCTGGATATATCACAATATCGGACCAATGAGAAGCTCCGATA